GATGCCTGTTGGGGACCCTCAATCCCACAAATGCCAGGAGCGGTCTCAAATTTACCTCTTTGACTGAGACTCCAACAAGAATGAATGCGATACCTTGAACTTAGAGGTAAGTGGGTCTTAAGACCTCACAAGACAAACCTGGTCATGCGGACTATGCCATGGTGTTCCCTTCAGGATTTAGGATTCGTGATAGTTGATGGTTCTAGCCCTCTATGATCTAGCTATAGTCCCCCTTAAGTAAATAGAATATGGGGGTATATGGGGATCTTACTATAATATACCCAAGGCCATATTCTATCTACTTAAGGGGGACTATAACCCGAAACCTTAAACCCTATATTCTATCTACTTAAGGGGGAACTATAACTACTTCCCAGACCTAAAGCAGGCAGCACCTGTGATCGGAGCAGCTTTCGGCAAAACCTCGGTGCAACCATGGGTTTTGGGTTTAGGATTTAGGGTTTAGGGTCATGGATTTGCAGGGGAGGTGGGTGTCGCTCAATAGTTGGGCCCACTTATGGTGGTTTGCCTAAATTATGGGTACCTTCCTGGGGGTCCCGATAATAAGGATTACAGAACATTGGGGTCTATATTGGGGTCCCCCTGTTTTGGGCAACTACCACATACATCCTCAGAATAGCGCATGCTCTGACGGAGCCTCGGCAAGGAGCCCATTACTTTTAGAGCGACGCCCAAGTTGGCAACTGCTCGCCCTTGGGTCACCTGAGTTTTCTGCGGTTGCTGCAGGAACTTGCCAATGATGACAAATGGGGGTTTCCAGAAATGGCTGGTGCCAAGGCAAATATACATAGTATAGACATGTTTGGAAGACGACAAATATTATAATTCATACAGTATTTTATAGTATATCATAGTATATTATGATATACTATAGGATATTATGATATATCATAAGATATATATATATATTTTAGGATATGATAGGGTATTATACGATATTTTAGGTTTTATCATGCCATGTCCTGTTTAGCCAGTTCAATCAATGCGGCCTTCTACCATCGTGCGCGGTGATCAAAGTTGATCACGGAAGGAACATTAGCCTGAATTGCGCATATCAGTACACATCAGCTTCCTAGAGCATTTTTGATGTCATCCAACGAACTGCTTGCAAGAGTTTGGAACTGATTTTCTGCTTCTGTGCTAGCAGGTCACGTTGCTTTCGCCGCGGGCAGTGGGACGCCTCGGCCGAGCCGCGAGACCTCAAACCGCCAGGGCTGGAAACATGAAAGCATGGCCCAAGAATGTTAGTGGGTCCTGAATCATGCAGCCCACGGCACCTACCACAACAGGCTCCTGTATAGTCTCCGCAACAGCTTCAGGGATACAAGGAATCAAGGGCCTCTCCGAGCTATAAATAAGTTGAAACTATTCTGAGGATTCAGGATTCTACTACGTAGTCTTTGCTGCTACCAGAGCTGCTGCTAAGTACTATCACGGGCCCTGCAGACGGCTTCCCCCCACTTTGAACGAACCCAAGAGACTGGGCACTGCTGTCTGGTGGTAGGACTGAGTCATGTACAACCTTTGTCCACCATCCTGATCTTTCGGGTGATTCAATTGCAATGTTAGAGGTCCGAATGTAACGCTTATATGAAGCACTCGATACCCCACGTTTGATAGAAACACTTTTTGCAAGACCGCTAAAGAAATCCGATGCTAAAATGATTTGAATGAGGCCTTGGGATGAGCTATGGCACATCTGCTGCAAGAAAAATGAAACAATGCCTCCTGCTCCTACTACTACCACTCCCACCACCTCCTACTACTACTCCTCCTCCTCCTCCTCCTACTACTACTACTACTACTCCTACTACTCCTGCTACAATTACAGTTCCATGCCCTCATGCTAACTTCCTTTCTTCCAAGAGGCCAGGAAGCCGGAGCCGAAATGGAGCCCCACCCAGAACGCTGCCCTTACAGCTTGCTAGGGTTAAGGGTTTCTACAGCTGGCTGCTGGGAGGTCCAGAAGGGCTCTAGGGAGTATGATGAGGGGATTTGGGTTACCCCAACAAACTAGAATGAGGGCCTGGTGGCTATCAGATGACTGTCATGATGTTGTTCCATGGTGTAGGGTGCTGGTTGTGGTTGTTGTTGTTGTTGTTGCCACTGGTGTTGCTGTTACCAAATTTTCATCAATGCCGGGCAGGGCCAGTTCTCCAAGCTCGAGATTCCCCAGTGTACCGAGCTTAGCTACCCTGGGCAGAACTTGCTTGCAACAACCGTCGCAATGTACTTTTTCTGTGGTTCCCTAGAAAAAAATCACCGGCGCATACAAAGTCCATACTTTTGCCGCAGACCTCAAGGCGAATTCTTGCCATTACTGGCACTCCAGGGTTCGCGACCTGGGGCTCTACGGAGTTTATGGTATTGCTGCAGCTACCTTTCTGTTGGACCATGTCTTACAGTACCAGAAACGCGCGATATGAAATGTTTGCCGTGCAGGGCTCGCTTGGGCCAGTGACTCCCTGTTTGTGCCTTCTGCAACATGTTTTTGAAGGATTTCTGCACGACACCGGGTTAGATTTTTACAAGTTTAAAAGGCTAGCAGATTTTGTCGGTGCCCCAAACCTTTACTCCTGAACCCCAAAAAGGTCCTAAACACCCTAAACCCTAAACCCAAACCGTAGGTTCTTTGGGGTCCCTTCAAATCATGTTCTCATACATAGTACTATAGAATGGATTCCCAGACCCTTGGGAGGATCTAAGAATTAGATCCCCTATATAAACCCATTTTAACTCCTGTATAATCCTTATACAATTCCCCCTATGGTTCTAGGGGATCTAATTTCTAGATCCTTTTGGGGTCTGGGTTGTGGCCCGTAGTATATCATAGAATATTGACCAGACCCAAACGGTAGCGCCCAGTACGGTCGGGGCCAGGCTAGCAGCAGGCCAGCATTCCATGGCCAGCTGCCCATGGGCAGCTAAGGAGACAAGCTAGCCCCAGAAGCAGTAGACAGGTACTATATATGTATATATATATACATAGAGAGAGAGAGAGAGATGTATATAGATGAACAGATAAATACATATATATATATATGTATATATGTGCGTGTATTAGGCTAGGCTTTAGGATGTAGGCTATGATATGAGACTATACGGTATGTTGGGATAGCTTGGGGCATCACAAGACACTGGAAAGCTCTAACATGACATATACACCAATAAACCCTAAACTGCCCTAAACCCTGGACCCCTAAACCCCTAAACCCTTAAAACCTGAACCCTAAACCCCTAAACCCCTAAACCCCAAACCCCTAACCCCTAAACCCTAACTCCTAAACCTCAAACCCTAAACCCCGCCAACAAGTAGAGAAAACCTTTGGGCTGCTGTAGGGAGTCTGGCTCCACAGCTGCGTGCTCATAGCAGCGAAAGGCAAGCTAGTGGGTCCAAGTACCCAAATGCGCTATAGTCTAAACTCCTTAAAAGGGGGGGGGGGTGTATATAGGGATTGAGGGTTTATAGTTTAGGGTTTAGGGTCTGAACTCCCTAAAGGGGTTATATAGGATACTATATAGGGGACTACTATAGGGGCTATTCAGGGAGATGCTAGGGGTTTAGACTATAGCTCTAAATAAGGGCGGCTTCAGGCGCCGAACACCATGATCTGGACAGTTTTGGGTACCTAAAGCCCTCATATCTAGGTAGTTGCACCCTTAACTAGAGCAAGTTAACACGCCCGAATCTACGTTTTCAGGGTTGAGGGTACCAAGAATCCAGACAAGCTGTTGAAATAAGATTGAGCCAGCAAACTACCAACCTGTGGGTGTTCATGTCACGGCATGTGCGACCTGGGCCCCCCTCTACCCCTATATTCTAATTGGTATATCATGGTGTATTTGTATATCACAAAAAATTATAGTATATACCCCTGAAAAAAGCTCCGCACATAGAACAGGAACATTCGACATGTTGATAGTTTGCACCGGGCCTCCAGGGCAAGCACACATAGATGATGAGGGCTTAAAACCATTCGAAAGATGCTGCATTTTTCTGTGCAAATGATGGCTTCTAACGAGCAGCTAGATATGCGCTCGGGCGTGCAAGCACACAACAGCCAACAGCAGTGGGAATTCCTGGCATTACCGCAATCATGAATGCAAGGAACTGCAAAGGCCTCAACGATACTAAGAATGATGACCTTGTCTAAACAAGGTAGTGACAACGTGTATTGCAAGAGAATGTAGTGGCCGACTTTGATGACCGTAATGACAATGATCATGATGGTGATTATCATGATGGCGGTGATCATGATGATGATGAGGATGACCAGGGTGAAGACGACAAAGGTAAAGAACACTAATTTTGAGGCTGGCAAGAGCCAAAGTGTTGGCCACGTCAGCCACGATCGCGACGACCATTCTGATGATGTCGGTTATGAGGAAGGCAGGGGTGGCACTGAGTTACGTAGAAACAAACTTGCCCTGCAACTTGCCCGAGTATCTAGGGGTCATACTGAGCCCTAGATATAACTATATTATGAATGGACTATCAAACTGTTACAGAGTGGGGGCAGTACAAAATACAGAGTACTATGACCTCTCTAAAGTAATGGGTTAATATTGGGGTTATAGGGGTTATTAGCCAACTTACTAAGTCCCGGTATGTCTGCATGCCCTCCACCAACAGTCCTTGCAAGGCAAAAACACTCGAACATCCTCCTCACAACTCTAACAACGTATGCCTTCTAGGTAATGGTAAGGTAGCTCAAATAACCTGCTACAACCCTATAAACCCAAAACCCTGTTAAAATGTAGTTGAAGCCCAACAGCGCCCAGCAGACAAAGCACAATTTTCTATCCGAAGCTGGGAATGCATTGACTGAGCCTTAGATCCTGATCCAAAACCCTAGCCCAGAAATATTGAGACCCTAGAAACCTGAAAGCCCTTAAGCTTAGGTCTTAAACCGTATACTCCGTCTCTGAGCTTACAAGTCTCCAAAACCCCTCAAATCGTACAGCAACTTACTCAACGCCTGGAGGCCACCCTGCACAAAAGCGCGGTAGGGAGCAACAAGGGCCTTATCTTGGCGGGCACTTGGTGCAAAATTCTGTGTGCGCAGGGGTTCAGAGTGTAGGGTACGGGGGTTTTTAGGTCTTGGGGCTTAGGGTGTAAGAGCTAAAGATTTGCGAGGTGTTGGCTTACACGCTTCTATTTCCATGCCTCACTTGAACAAATCTACGAGCTTTCTTGGCTCCTGGTGAAGAGCCTGAAGCCCTAACCCCTTTTCTTTGACCCGTCGCCTGCAAGTTGGAGACATTTCTGTCACTTGTGACAGACACCAGGAACTTTTCAGCTGAAACACAAAAAACGAGGATTCTGGATTTGGTGCGTGAAGCCTTAAGCTCATCTTCCATGCAAAAGCATTCATAACTCCTATAGACCCCCGGAACTCCTCAACTCTTTCAACTCTTGTCCTTAAAGCCTTACCCTAAACCCTAAATGCCTTTAAATTTAAACCTTGAATCCTAACCATGGTCCCTACTGCTGAAACACCTTAAATCAGGGAAGAAGAAATACTGGAAAAGAAAATGGAAGCTACTTTATCATTTAGGGTTTAGGGTTTAGGGCTTAGGCTCAGGGGACTTAGTAAGTAGGTTAATAATAGGAGTAGTTTCGGTTATGGGTTTTAGGGATAATTCACCTACTTACTAAGTCCCCTCGCCCTCCAAGTCGGTAGTCGGTAGACCCCCCACCCTTTCATAGTGGCAAAAAATGGGAATACAAAAGGACCCCAATATCATCATTATTCTCCCTTGCGGTCACTGTTGCTGGGTAAGGGGGGTCCACCTACAATATAACACCTGTTTACGTGTTAATCAAGTTCTTTTTCATGTTCTCTTCTTGTTGGTTCTCCATTATTGGGGGTAACAGTAATGTCTCTATAGCTTCCATAACACAATCCTGAAAACCCAATAAAAAAAACACCATTTGGTACGTTACTTGGAGACTCTTTGTCCATCATTGTTCCCTTTCACTCCAAGTGCAGAACCCTCCGATGAAATACACCCCGTCTTGGAATTTCCTTCCCCGATGGCGTCATCATCTTTTGTTCGTGATGTTGACGCCTTCCTCGGCCTTAATTCATGCCTGAACCCCAAAAGAATAATTTTTCTTTGGGAAATGCGTATGGTGTTTTAGGCATTGTTTACGTATTTATCTAGGTATGTGTATGCCTGTATGCATTTTTTCTTGTAGACCAGAACAATCTCCAGTCCCTGCCGTGAGTCCGCGGCCACCACCGCAGCTGCGAGGAGGAGAAGCCTCCAGCTTGAGATTTGGTGGATTTGGGGTTTAGGGCTTCAGGTTTAGATTTCAGCGATTAGGGTGGGGGAGCGACAAGATGAGGGCCACTAAAACGGGTGCGGAACAATGCCCCCTCCACGGTCACAATTTCCTTACCTTCAACCCAAGAGTAGGAAAAACAATATCCCAAACCCCTGCAAATGGCCACCGAAAGTGCCATCTGGAATCTGCAGGGCGGTCAAGGGTAAAAACATGATCATTGTCCATCTGGCTTGATATGGCATTTCTGCATGACAACTTTGCTTGTTAGGCAGATCCTGTTGTTGATGTTCCTGCGCCGCTTATGTGTCTTGTTTCGGAATTGTCCTTCCCATTGGTGCTCTGCCCATCGTTTTCTTCTGACATGGACAGCCCCCTACACGCCTCAGGGAAGCGCACAGGGGCTGCATTGTCAACAGCCAATTATTGCAATACGCAATGTATTGTAAACAACCGTTTTTTTGCATCCACCCCTCGAATCCACACCTACGGAATTGAAAATCGGCTCCCCAAGCTTGAGCCTGCAACATTTCCACATGCCATAAACGGCTGACCTTTCAGTGGGGCTGCTGAGAATATTTCAAACGCTACCCACTGGAAGCCTGAAGCCAACTCCCAAACCTCACGTCGCCAACCCATCACCTGCCTACCAGCGCCAGCCATTGCTACTTTGTATCCTCCGCAGCGCATAGGAGAGTTGCTACGGCAATAACAAGTATAATAGTAGCAATAATAATAGCAATAATAACAATAGCAAAAATAGGAATACTAGTAACAAAAAGAACAAGAAGAATAGCAGTACTAGTAGTTATTGTAAGAGTAGCAATAATGTAAGCATCATTAGGACGAAGAATCCGAAAACGTCCGGGTCTCTCGTTGGAATGCTGGATACAGGTCCAATGCAGATCACTGTGGGAAACCCTTGAACACGCTTTTGAGACTGGACCAACTCTACATCAAAACCTTGCCGCTACAAAGATCCTGAATCAAAGATCTTTATTTGAAAAAAGCCTACATCTAAGATGATACACACTCAGAGGCAAGTTCTTTCACTATGTTGGGGCTACCAAGGAACAGATCTCACAAGGGAATGAAGGGGTCTTATCATCAGGGGAAGGTAATGTCGCGAACTTCCAAGTGCCTTGGTACTGAGCAGGTGCAGCATGTAGGGTTTCCCGAGGACAACATGCCACAAAATCTCCCTCTAGAAGAGTTTGCACTCGGGATCCAAATCGTAAGTCCATGTATGGATAAAGGCCTAGCCTGAACAACAGCTGACAATGCCCTGCGCACATTCTGGTCTCCAAGCACGCGACTACTTCAGGATCACTTCACAACAAAATGCAGCTGCAGTGCAAGCTCAGGCCTGATGAGATTTCGCTGCAGCTACCCTCTATCCCGCGGAGCCAAAGCGCTAGGCCGTTGGGCGGGGCTTCTGTGGTAATTCCGCAAAGTCATGCCCTGTCCCTGAACCTCGGGCTGGCAACCTCGAATCATAGAATGTCAGAGCATTCAAGTTCAACATTGTCCTGACCCCCTAAAACCTTAGCCATACCTTGTACCGCGCAGCGCGGTTGTTCAGCTTTCCAGTAGGCTCTCAACACACTCTGCCGCAATCAACCTGTAAATCTTCTTGGCTCCCAAAGCCAACTACGACTGTTCTTAGTAGGGAATGAAGGAGTATAATCCCCACACAGACCCTATATACTATATTCCACTAGTCCCTACTAGGCCCCAGCAAGACGACAAAGCCTTGGCTTTGCAAGTCTCAAGCTCCAAACCTGGAAAAGCAGTGTCTTTTCACGGCACTTGCCATCATGCCTGCCGCTGCCAAGCCTGCACGGGCTGCCGGCTGCTGGAAACTGGAATTTGGGGCTTTACTGGTTGCAAATAAAGGCAACAAAAAAAGATGACACTGTGATAGACTCTGGCAAAGTAGAAATCTTGCTGGCCTAGCTTCAGGACAAGAAGGAAGCAGACCAACAATGTGGCAAAACCTCTCTAATCCTGAAATCTGCTTTCAGCCCCCCAGCCTCCAGCAAGTGCACCACCTCTGTTTGAGCTCGATCTTCTGCATGGCGAAGGGGCGTGGTGTGCCTCCGCATGCCGAGGCGCCTATCATCCTTGTCTTCCCCCCTGTTAACGTCGGCCTTTGCTTGTAACAGGAGACGTGCAACTTCAACGTGGCCAGCGCCTGATGCGTAGAAAAGAGGCGTGGCTGCAGTTCTGCATTGCACTACAAATTCCCCATGAAAGTCTTCTCGACACTCCCCTGCGTTGACGTCGGCGCGCGCGGCCAACAGCAGGCGCACGATCTGGACGCAGCCTTGCCCCGGCGCTGTTGCGAGAGGCCATGCGTCGCGCGCGAAAGGGCATAAGCCCAAGTCATCTACCTCTGGCGCATTGGCATCGGCCTTTCTTTGCGTCTAGCAGCAAGCGCACAATCTCCACAAAGCGCCTGCGTACAGCTTGAAAAAGAGACGAAGTCGAGCCAGTCTCGTTTTCGGTGCGTTTGTTGACTTCTGCCCGACCTTCCAATAGCAAGCGAACAACTACTTCATGGCCCTCTATTGTAGCGATGAAGAGTGCTGGTCAAAACGTCTTGTCAAAGATTTGTCCCTCGTGCTCCAAATATTCCCCTGTGTCGGCATCGGCTCCTGCCGCAAGCAATGTGCTCACAATTTGGGCATGGCCATGTTCAGCTGCCAAATACAAAGGTGTTACATACACCAGGCACCCCTCATCAGGATAGCATCTTTCCATGTTGGCATCGGCTCTCGCTGCAAGCAGCCAGCACAAACTTCTATTGCGGCCGGCTTCCGAAGCATGACACAGTGCAAATGCCACCTCTGCGCCTTTGTCTGAAGAAGCGGTGGCGTGCACCTGCAGTAGCAGCAGCTGCACCTTTACAATGGAGTCCAGTCTCGCTTGGTCGTCAAGGATAACACCTTGATGCAAGATGCGCTGCAAGAATACGGGCAGCCCATACTCCTCTTGCAGCTGCTGCTTCAGGACTTCAGCGGTCCCACAATTGTCAATGGGTATCTCCGCCAGTTCCTCTCCAGAAGTAGCCCAGGAAACGCGCAACATCCAGGCCGAGGCTGTGCTACAACGCCGAGAGCCTTGTTCAGACTTTTAGCTTCTGAGCTCTAGCAGCTTGTTGAGGCTGTAAGCAAGTCTTACTGTGATGCTACGGACACCGACGCAGGAAGGAGGCTTGGATGATGCAAGCTCCAAGGCTCAAACCGTAGAAGCCCTGAAGCCCCGAATCCTGAAATGGCAGGCCCCCGAATGCACAACCTCTGACCCAGATCCCTGGGCAGATCTACAAACTAGAACCCCCTAAGACTTACTGGGAATCGTACGGCGTAGGTTACCATATTAGGGGTTCTACTTTCTAGATCCTCCCAAGGGCCCGCAACCTCGGGTTCTGTGGGTGCAGGTTTAACTTCAGGTTTGGGTGCTTCAGGACCTCAATGGACCTCGCCATGTGGGCCGTCCAAGATGCGGCCAAGAGGGTGCAGAGGTTTTGGGATAGGGGAGCTAAGCTGGACAGCTCTGTAACACCACAACCCTATTCTAGCCCAGGCGTGAGAACTATTAAGCCGGAAAACGCAAAGGCCTGAACCCCCCGTTTCCATCTAGATATAGACAAAGTGACCAGCCAGCTCATAGATCCGTGTAAGGATGAGGTTCAAATGTAGCAACCAGACGAAACCCTGCACATATGCGACCGTCAGGTGAGTGTACCCCTTTCGTGAGCATCTAAGGTCTGCAAGCGAGCAGCTACTTCAGGATCACTTCACAAGAAGATCATACCCACGCCCTCAACCCTAAACCCTAATACCCTGAACCCTGATACCCACATGCTGGAGAAAGACGCAACTGCAGCGCAGGCTCAGGCCTGATGAAGTTTTAAGGCAGCTGATGTAGACCCCTGATTAATAACACCCCTCTCCTTAATAGGGATTCCAATAACAGGTCTCTTAATATTAAGGCCCTTTAAAGAATGGGATTTGTAAATCAGCGGTCTGCAGGGATTCCTGGACAACTCGAATAGTTACTACAATGACCCCAATGATCGCCCTAAACCCTTAACCCTAAACAGCAAGCCGCAGGATGTTTATAGAGTAACTGCATCACTGGCAGCCAAATCTGTATGACGCAGGTATCGGGCGCACATGCAGGGACTGTGAGCTTGAGAATGACCCAAGTAAGTACCCAAGTGTAAGTTACGCCCACCCCTAAACTCTAAACCCAATATAGTAGTTATAACCCCAATATACTATATCATATGTACTTCCATTCATTCGCTGTCTTCCCGTGAGCAAACGACAAGTTGATGAACTAATGACCAGCTGCGGGTCTTCTTGCGATCAGTTCTATTCATATGGTTGATATTACTATTATTACTATGTGTATAATTGGTACTACTACCGGTATTACTATTATTACTACTATTTACTATTTTGGATCTTCAGACACGTCTTGCGGCTGTGACGCGCAGTCGCCAGAGGTCTTCACTAGATGCACGCAGAAGCTCCCTCTTGCATACAGCTCGTAGAATACTACCTGGAGAAAGCTATAGGCTACTGTCCTAGCAGTTCTGAGCGAATATCTTGCAATTGCTTACACTACCTTTGCCGCCTCTGCGTCGCATCCCCACCGGTGACTGGCGCGAATTCCCGGCTGCAGCCTGCCGAAACATCTTTAGAGCTGGCACCATTTCTACGTTCCCCCTCGGTGACAAGTATGCTTGCAGGCATCCACTCCTTGTGTTCCAAATGGAGGAGCAGTAAAGATTGCAGCATGAAGTTTTGAGTAATCCTCAGCCGATCCCCACCTGTACCAAGAATCTTTATGTACAGTCGCCGCACGAGGACACTCCCATGTATACACCCACCTGAGGTACCACACATACTGTACACCAAACCAGAAGAAACTCAAGTCTACCCCGGAACAAGTAACACCGCAAACCTCAAGTTACTCGTGGAATCCTGGCAAGGGCTGCGAGGGATTCACGGGTTCGCAGTGGCCTCCGCTGCTGCCGATTCTGACAGGCAATTGTGCTTCTCATCAATCATCCCAACCCGAAGTTGGAGTCTCTCTAGAAACATAATAATCGTACTAACAGTAAGAATAATAGTAGACATGGGAGTTGACCCTTTCTGTCTTGGAACCACGATTTGACTATGTTTGTGGGGAAATGTAGGGTGTACGCAATTGAGGGACCCAAATGCTTGGAAACCACTGCGTCTCCAATTGTAAGAACCCTCAACCCTATCGGCTCCCACATAGAACTCTACACCCTATAGGCCCCTAGATAGAGCCCCAAAATCCTACAGGCTTCTACATAGAACCCTCGACCCTTTAGGCACCCACATAGAACCCTCGACCCTATTATATAGACCCCTATAAAGCCCCATCCTGCCACTGCAGCGGTCGTCTTGGCCATCAGAGGCAACTTGATCATGAGCTCCAGCCGAAACCCCGTATAAATAGGTAATACTGGTATACAAGAAATATAAGAGGACCCTAATACAATCACAACACACACAATCATCCCGTAGAGTCACTACTGGGTGGGGAATTCACCTAAACCATACCGTAAACGCGAAACCCCAAAGCACTACGCAGAAATGGCTCGGGTGCGTACAAAAGATGATTTCAACTACCTAGGATGTCAACACCACTCTAATAGCGCCCGGTATCACAAAGCCATGGTCTTTGGACCCTTGGAAATACTGAGCCCTAAGCGGCATGAATTGCCACGGCACATGATTGACCAGTCAGGCCCGGTCTATACAGGCAGCCACAAGCCACGTCGAATTCATCGAATTGCACAACTTTGAGCTACGCTATGAGCTTCAAGGCTTCAAGGGGCTTGTTTTGCATGGATTCAAGACGAGAAGTGATTATTCGCGTTCTAAATAATCTGATGCCGCCGCGTTCAGGCACCTGATGCTGTTCCCAAATTTCCCATTCAAGGTCTCCCCTGCCGAAATCAGCGGGATGTGATACAAATCAAATTGCGGGAGCCCACCTTAGGACTATCTTGGGTTCAGGGTTTTGGGCGAGATCAAAGGGGAGAAGGGAGAATGGCTCATAAATCCAGGAGACCCATCGATCTTGCTCTAAGAAAATTTTAAATAGAAAGCAGAAGCAAAAGACCAAAATACTAGAAGAATCAGAACGATCGTACATCTACGTGGCAGATACCCCAGCCCCGAAACTGTTCCACATGGCTCGACGTCCACGCTCAGACGCTTCCGAACTCCTTCATCCAGTCCGTGAAGCGTTGCAGATCCTCGTTGCCTTGCGCAGTTCGATTGCAGAGAGTGTGGAGGGTTGCGTCAGCAGCTGGTCATAGGCAGGCACATGTCAGAACTAGATGAAAGCACCAATCATCACCATGATTGTTGCAATCCTCTTTGCCCTCATGATTGTCATCGTTGTAGAATCAGAAGGATAAAGAAGCAGAAAGCGATGGCATAAAACGTGGTATGGGTTCTGACAAGACTACGAATATCGCAGAGCAGAATATTCATACCAAATAGCAGCAGGTTGTGCACATTGAAGGTGTTCCAACAAAGGACAGGCTAGTGAACGAAGCTCGAGAAGCTGCAACCATGACATACATAACGCAGAAATCATTTACTGCTACAATCACAACAATAGCCACCCTGAATCGCATGCATCCTAATCTTGGGGGTCCTTCCCAGGAAAGCTGAGCCCACTGCCCACGGATCGATTCACGTTGGAGATCGCCTCCAGGAAATCCGCCTGGGTAACCGGCACGTCCACCTGAAGAGAGGAAGATTTGCTTGAATTCGCTTGGGTCCAAAAGTGTATTCTTGGAATAGAACTCAGGCTTCAGGTGGATTCAAAACTCAAGTTCCTAACGCGTACATGGATTATGCTTGAACCTTACTAATCAAGCCTCAAACGCGAAACTCTGAGGCCGGCAGCAATCTTGAAAGCTGTTCTGACAGTCAAACCCAAAATCCAAAACCCTTCCAACAAAACGAAGAGGAGAAGGAAACACAAACACATGCGCAACAATTTTGATGGAACCTGCAACGTCGACTAAGTGTGCCCCTGATGTGTAGCAGCATCCCACATTACAGTGCGACAACGGGTTCTTAGGCCCGCAGCAAAATCTAATCCTATTCTGTAGATGAATATGACCGGACTTACAGCGAGAGCTTTGACACTAGAATCCTAACCCGGGGGAATTGAAGTTGGGGGCTGTCTTTGCATGTGGGCAACAGTCAACATGTAACTCGTTTCTTTGCACCTCAGCCCATCATAATGTTCTCACCTGCTTAGGATAAGACTGAACTGAACCGACTGAACTTGCTAGCGGCTGTGTAAGCGAGACTCGTTCCTTGTTCCATGTGACAAGCCAATGATTGCATTCGAGGATTTGGGTAGCCGTGTTCGAGGATCTGGGCAGAAGTTCACCACGCCTTTTTCCTTGCAGCGCACTTGCTCTGAAGCAGCAAGGGTTGATGAACAACCGCCCGGATTCACCAGGAATCAGTGGTTATTTCTTGGCAACTGAACAGACAACACATGGACAATCTTTCCAGTGGCTACTGGCAACGCTGCAAACCATCTAACCTGAGATGTGCAGCGCGGCAACGGCCTGTTCTGTATTTCCCATGCAACAGCGGCCCTCACAGCCCCACTGCAAAGACCAGAGGCGCATGCTTCATGGCAGTTGCGAGCATGATGATGTTATCATGTTAGCTGTTAGCGCCAGTCCATGTGATCTCTGAGCTAGATCCTGGCCACGTAATGTGCCTACCGGCACAAACCATAATTGAGTGGTACTTACTGACTGGAGACCCAGAGCTTTGTCCTCTGGCCTCTGCTAAGAAAAAGAGACAAATTCTGTCAGCTCAGCTAGCTGCAGGCAGCCTTCAGCAGCCTCAGAGCCTAAGAAGTGTACGAGCTTTTCGCAATAGCGTATCTCAGAGCCCAGAAAAGTTTCTCCTCGAAATGCAGCAAGTTCCTGGTCATGGTCACCCATCAGCGCATCTTGCAAGGGCACGCCTCCAATGAACGCAGTAGCTTTGTGGACCGGAAGATCGACTCTACCAGCATGCAGTAGCTGCACCACTTTCGCGGCCTCACTGCCGCTCACTGCGTGAGTGTCTTGTTGAGGGTGGTTTTGCCAGGAGGCAGCCTGCATCATCCGCTGCAAAACCAACGTCCAGCAACAGGGGGGCTCCAGTAACTGACTGAAGCGAGGACCCCCGTTACGTGCCGTCTCATGGCACTTTTGAAGCTGGAAAAAACCATCTCCTGCTTCGACTCTTACTTGGTGATCTGTCTGGGATTCGGACGGAGCTAGCCGAAAGTTCGCCACAGCCTTTTCAACCACTCTCCAGGCGGTCTAGGGGGCGGATCCAGACTCAATTTCCGTTGGAGGCGAGCGATCATCAAAGTCCAGCGTCAGCAGTTCGGCTCAACAACAGCAACCATGAAGCCTTCTTCCTTTGCAGATCGTCTGCTTTTGGAACAGCAGGTTTTTCCTGCGCCGCCAAATTCGGGATCCTCGCCTCAGGAGGCAGTGCGTTCTGCCCGTGCGCTCGTTCGCGAAGGACTCCGGAAGCGGATCAGCTGGCCTGAGTGTAGTCCGTGCCAGAGAGAATCCAGCCTCTGTACGCTGGCAGAGTATGCTGTGGTCCCATCTGACCAGCTCAAAGCCCAGCAGGCATGACACCGCTTGCAGCAGAAGCTGCCAGGCGGAGGAACCTCCAAAGGAGTTGTAGGTAACCTATTCGCCCGCTGAGATCCTCGATTTGAAGCACTGCGGAGGAGTAGCCAAGCTCACTGTGAAACCGGCACAGGCAGTGCGAGCATTGCAAGATTGTGACCTCTGCATTGAAACCTTGTCTATCCTGCTTGCCGACGTCATTGTCTTTGAGATGCCTTGTGCCCTAGCGAAGCAACATCCAGAACCCATGACAGACTAACCGCCAACTGCACCGCTTTTACAACCTCAATTCCAAACACTTATGAAACTAAATCTTCTCAAAGTCAATGCCTTGACATCAAAACGCATGCTTATTTCTCAGTCATCGCAAGAAGCATTGGTCAAGAAAATCATATCACTCAACATGATAATCATGCGTATACCATCATAATGACTTTGTCAACCATTAGTGTAGAATCCGAATACGGCCAAATCAAAAACAACACTGGTAAGAGGATCACAGGCCTACCTCCAGTCCCTTCGAAGTTTAGGGACCGTAAGAAGGTAATCCAAATTCTGGAAACAAGGCTAGTACTGTTCATGCCTGCATGATCTTGGTATCCTATAATAGATCCATTCCCGAGGTACGGGGCGCTTATACTTGTACTTCACCTGCAATATCGACCGTATGACCCTGAGCGCGACCTCTTGCTTCAGGTTGTTCAACTCCTGCAAGCTTTTTCCCTCCTGCCAGGGGCTCTTGGATTTTGGTGTTGCTCAAGTACTTACTGGAATTTGGGAGTAATACCCATTCGCTTATAATTAATATACCAGGAATGCTCGGCCTGGGTCTAATAACATCTGGATTCTGTCTAAGGGATTACAATAGTACCCCCCATTAGGCATTAGTGAGCCCTGTAGTCCTTATTAGCTCCTTAAACCCTGGGGGAGTTCCTTTGGGGGGTACTATTGCAATCCCTTACTGTCTTCATGGGGGTCCTGTATTTGCCAGGATTTACAATTTACATAAGTGTTTGACATGTCAGGGCTTAGGATGCTCCAGGCTTGTCAGCAGTTCAGGGTCTCCAACACGTTGTGGACCTTTTGGGGATCCATACTGCAGAAGGCTCCAGCTAGTTAGGGTGCAAAAGCGTGGTAACAACTTGAGTTGAGGCTTCAGTCTCTACGCAGGCGTGACTTTTTCAGAGATTTGCTGCTGGATGGGCTTTCAAAACTGCCCACCAACAAAAGTGGGTGCCCACTTTGGGCTCCTAATGATAAACACCCCCCCCTTTTTAGATCCCTTTTTTGATGCAGCACCTAATATCTAGGGTACCCAGAAAGGGACCACATTTTTGACAACCACCCATGTATGCCTAAACCCTAAACGTATGAGAATGCCCACCTTCCGCGCTTGCTGCATGCGGCGGCGCAAGCCTTGGAGACGGCTCATAAAACAAACGCAGGGCGACGTAGGATTAAAAGGGGGTTTGGGGTTAGGATTGAGGGGCTTCGGGTTTAGAATTCAGGGGGTTTGGGGGTTTGGGGAAAGGGCTTAATCGGGGTTTGAGGTTACGGGTTCAGCTTTCAAGTTCGGTGTTTAGGGTACATCATGTGTGTTGGAGGCACTCAAAACTATTTTTGTGTCCGGGTATCCGGTGAAAAGCCCAATCATGTGAACGAGCCATGCACGAAGTTCCAAGCGCAAAAACCACGATGTTGTGCTACTACCTTATTACCACATACCAACACCAAACCATTGAACGTTAGGGGTCTGGGTGCCATCAACAACCCTTGCAGCTGTTTCCTGAGGGCCATGGCCACTTCCCTTGCCTTCAACAGCAACCTCTACTATACAAAGTTTAGACTACAATCCCTATAATCTACTATATAATCCCAGTCTCCATGTCATTTTCCATTTTCTTTTCCATTTGATTCTCCATTATTAAGGGGGAAGGACAGGGTAGGGTCTAGAGGTCCTCAAGAAACAATCTTGCTTGGCTCCCTGCCCATCATTGCTGCTTCACGGCAGACGTTGGTCACGTCTGCGCCTCATGGCACTTCGATGCACGGAGAGGCCGTGGAGGGAGCGAGGAAGCGCCATTATGGGTCCATGCAATCCCGGGCCCTAAACCCTAAACCCTAAAACCCTAAACCCTCAACCCTCAACCCTAAACCCTAAACCGCAACTCTTTCGAAATTTAGCGCCCCTCACCTGAAACAGGTTGTCGATGCCAACCATCACGAACCCCTAAAATCCAAAGAGGCTCGCGACGTACGGCAACGCAAGCTCTGAACCCTTTCTCAGAGGGTCCATGTAGCTATTATAATGTATACTTACGGCCCAAAAAGGCTTCCCAAAAAGCTACTTGAGCGCCCAAGTATATACTACATAGCTACATGGGCTCTCTGGGTTTATAGTCCCTGTAAGTAGATAAAATATCGGTATATGGGGATCTTACTATACCCATAATCCATGTTCTATCTACTTAAGGGGGACTATACCCCTAAAGCCCTAAAACCCATTCTATTTTCCATTATCCCTATATAACCCCAATATAACCCTAACGCTTTAAGCCTGAATGCCTTGAATGAAACTGGGTGGCCCGCCGCTGTAGCCCTTGGTCTTATCGACCAGCCCCTGGCACTGGAGAACTCAGGAAAGGGGGATTTAGGGTTCAGGATTTAGGGATCAGGGTGTAAGGTTTAGAGTTTGGGATTTAGGGCTTATGGATCCGGGCTTAAGGTCTAGGGTTTCAGGGTTTGGATTTAGGGTTTAGGGTGTAAGGCTTAGAATTTTGCGTTTGCGGATCAGGGTTAAGGTGTAGGGGTCAGGGATTTGAGGTCGGGGTAGTAAGTGTGCCTTGGGAACAAAGGCAAGTGCAGTCTACTGGGGGCGAAGGAAGGAAAAAGGAAATCTACTCCCCGTACAATCTCTATATCATATATTCCTGTATTCCTTACTCAGTCCCAGTAAGACAAGGTGACCCCAAACTCCAGATAGCAGATTCTCTTTTCCATTCTCCCAAAAAATTACCGTATGTACCCCGAAAAACCCCCAGCAAGGTACATTGGGTGTCCAATTGGAGAGGCTGTAAATGCAGACACATGGGGGCATCTAGGATCATTTGAGGCCTTCCAGTGCAGCAAATTGTCCTGGAAATTATGTAAATTATGCAGCACGCTCCAGCATTCTTTGGGTTTCCGATTCAGCTGTCCTGTCTTGAGGAATGCCTCTGGAACTCTCTTTTGACAATCTCTCATACAGAAAGTATCACAACGCAAAGTGTTCCTACACCTGTGGCAACGTCCCTACACGCTAAACCCTAAACCCTAAATCCTAAACCCTAAACACAGACGCCTTCACGGCCACATCAGCGCCCAGCTTCACCTGATTGGTCAAAGGACTCCGGGGTTTAGGGTTTAGGGTAATTGGTAACCCCAGGCCCCAAAATCGGAACCTTGTTGGGATAGTATCCCAGACATGTATATGTAGTCCTTATTGGGTTTTAAGTACCGTAGAATTCAGAACTCTATCCAACAGTGACCCCGAAAGGACGAGCCTGTAGCAATCATATATGAGCTATAGTCTATACTCCTAGTATCCCCCTTGATAACCCCTATACTACTCCCCTATATAATCCCTTGTAAACAGCCCTTTAAGGAGTTTAGACTGTATAGCTCATATGATAGTCACTGGGCCCTCGTTTGAGGTTGGCTCGCTGAATTATCCTGGTCGGAATGTGCCTTGCTGTCCCTTGGCTACTGTCCTCATCGACTGTAGCTCCAACTTTTGATTGTTGCTGCAACATGCCACGCTTTCTATTATGAGAACATGTAGCGAGCATGAGGGATTTGATGAGTCCCGCTGAACGAAATCATTGGCATTATCGCAAGGAAGTCCCATAGATATAAGACTGTTCCCAGGAAAGGAGTACCGAAAGGAGTACCTGACACGCCTGAGATTTGGATCCAGCGTGTTGGCTTCCAGCAAGGGACTTTCCAGACTTCAGATATGTTTCCCGTTACTTCGCAGTCGTCTGCAGCGTAGCAGAGTCTGTCTGTAGTAGTTTGTACTGCAACTGGAAGCATTGCGTAGTAACTTCGATGACACGTGGGTTGCAAGTAACCTGCAGCAAGGCCGAACAAGTACTTGAATTCTTCAGACAGAACCCTAGAGGGTACCTGTATGTGGCTAACCCAAAGCCTAAACCGACCAGTCTTGATCTTGACAGGGGTGAGGGTATGTAGCGGGACCTGCAAGGGATCTTGGGAAACCTCTGAAGTAGTCTGTACAGTGGGACCTACTTGGAGAAATCCCCACATCTGCCTCCTTGAGGTTGATCTCAAAGAGTTGATTCCGACCTGCAAATGTTCAGGTACGACTAAATGGCCCACTATCATTGCTTCGATGGCCGTCTAAGGTTAACAAATCTTGGTTCACGTCGCAGCCGTTGATGTCAGCCTCTCAGACTCGTCCCTCCGTCTTTCTGCGCCGCGGGTGCGGCTGCATGATCACCATGCCGTTCATGATCGTCAGTATTTACGTACATCTCCGTACATCACTCATCAGTTCTGCCATCCGCCTTTAGGGCAACCTGCCTCTGCGGGGTCTGTAGGATGAATCTTGGAATTCTGCCTTTCAGCCTTTCAGTAGACGGAACTTCCGGGTCCCCAGGCTATGGTGCTTCAGGTTTCATATGTGTTTTCCGAATGATACGGGGCTTGTACGGATTCAGCTCGAGAATTCCACGTGGCTACGTGAATGACCCATACTGTCACCCTGTAGGCTAGCTTTCGCTGGAGTAAAATGCTCTCATGATTGAGGTGGGAGAGTGGAAGGCCCAACCGTAACCGAAAATGGAATCACAAAACAGGACCCGACACTGATGCGCTGCCTCTGTTCCAGATGCGGTTCTAAGCTTGTTTGGGCAGCGAACTGATTTGCTGATGTGGGATGTTGCTATGGTGATTGTAGGCCTGGTATCATACAGACCTTCCCAACAAAGGACATGACAAACACGGCCCAGCATACAAAAGGCTAATTTGAAAGCCCTGCCACCGCAAGTCTCTTGTGGAGCCTTCTGGCTCGGGCAATGGAATGTAGATGCGCCTAGGCTGATTCATTGAACTTGGAAAGGCGGAATTGTCGCAGCTCCGGATATCTTTTGAACGGTGTAGCCACGCGCAAGTGCATAACTAGCATGGGCTCCACAATTTCAAGAAGCGCAATTCCACGGTTCAACGTGCACGTGGACAACAAAGTAAGCCCAAGGCTTCTCCAATCTCCTGCTTCAAGTCTGCAAAGCGAAAGTGCACTTCAAGGAGCATACTCAAAGCAAAGCGAAGATGCGTGGTGTCTTGCACTTGTGGGTGCCCCCCCTTGCATCCTTGTGAAGGCTTGGATGTTTTACAGTCTGAGATACCACTAAAACCTAAAACCTATAGTCCCCGTTAAGTAGATAGAATATGGCTTTCGGTATATTAGAATAGGATCCCCGTATGCCCCATATTCAATCTACTTTAGGTGGGACTATAACCCGAATATATACCCTATTATCATATAGTAGTTTCCATTTGGGGCAGTAAAAGAACCCCGTTCCCAAGCTTGGTTTCCATAACATAATGTTATCGGTAAACTTCCTCTCATTGGGGCTTTGCTTTTCCGGGACATATCTAAGAGGTTCAGCACATGCTGCGAAAGTGAACTGTAGCTGTGGGTAGGTAGTGGTTGCGTGTTAC